CGTGATGTTTTCTATGGTAAAATGATGATTGACAGTGTAGAAAATCGAACGAAATTTTACGTTGAACACAGTACTGCCTCCTTTGTAGTAATGCGAATAGTTATATTAAATGCTCCACCTTTGACTTTGTCACATTTCCACCGAGCCCATTGCAGGTTTTTAGGTGCGCATTTCTGCTTTGTATGCTGCAGTTTATCGAGGCCAAACGTTCTTCGTCTGGTGAAGACGGAACGTTCTCTCCAGAAAAGGTTTTTCCTCGAGCAGCAGTCTGTCGATTCCCTCTACGCCGGCATGAATCAGCCTGCTAAGTCGCTCTTTACGATTCCCATCGCAATGGCACATGGATAGCGCCGGCCTTTCAAAAGTCAGCCTAGGTGATTTCCCTCAAAGATCTAGAGTTCTTTTCGTTTTCAAATAACGGAATGTACCTCCTCTTTGTGAAAATGTCATGTTTGTGGCTTTGAAAGGACGCAAGTTTCTTTTTCTTGCGAAAAAACGTGTTTGATTGCGAGGAAATTTGAACCAACCTATCGAAAGAAACATTAGAGGGCGGGGAGTGCTACCTAGCTGTGTTCTGTGACCGGAAGCAATAAGGCATTAACTTCATCAGACGGTTTCAGTTATGCATAGTTGCGAAATGTTGCTCTGTAGAGGTCGCTTCCGCTTGAGATTCAGGTCGAGCTGAAAGGAATCTGATTATAATGTTCTGCACTTTAGAAGAATCACGGAAATTACAGCAAACAAGGAGCTTTTTCATATCCATCTCCCCATTTCACCTCCTCATACACCGTAGTTTGTTTGAGTGTCCGAATTCCTCAAGGGGCTTTACTGAATGTATTTCAGGTATTTCGAGAGATACTTTTAGTAGTACCTTCAAAACTGTAACAGAACCAGCTATCGTGATTGAGACGTGTTCGACTTCGATCATCCGATCGATGCATTGTCCTGAATTCGTCAGAGACGTCTTCCAGCTTGCCGCATTGCTTCGTGCATGGCGCAACTCAGAGCCGATGTTTCGTCATCTATATTTCTAGCCTCCGACTATCATTAGCATGCCATTCCACTCCTCAGCTCGTAGGTCGTATCATCGTCACTGCCGAATAACAGTTCTCTGTCTATGACAACTGGTGAAAATACTCGTTGCTTAGAGTTAAGATATGAACGTCTTTCATTCATCCAAAATATGACCATGTTTTGATTACCGCACGACTCTACAGCTTTTCATTGCTATAATGTCCAGTTATTTGTTCAATTTGAACTCATATTTTGTGTTTTCAAGAATAGTGGTCAATGTAACACTTAGTGCAGCACTTTTTGTAGTAGGTCGTTACCAGATATGTTGTACTTAGCGTTCTTAACAAGAAGAGTTATTCTTGTCCCATCTAAGGTGACAAAGAACAACCTTTGAGGTGTGTTTGCTCATCTGCTTGGGTCCCGCAGCAAATTCCTTGCATATTTTGCACCACTGTCAAGACGGCATTTTCTTTGGTATGAAGTGATTTCAATGCATATCACGCACACCGATAAGTTTAATGCCGTACCGAGCAGCCACCACTGGAAAATAAGCGCGTTTAATCTGTAGAAATTTACAACTCACTCTTGTCTACCGCACCGTTCCTTTTTGTTCCTCTCTTCCTCTTTCCAACAACACTCTTAACTTAAGAATAGATCACACTTTTTGCTAGTAGCTCGTGTTGGCTTGATTTTGCAAATTATTTCCCAGAATTAGCACGTTAATGTCTGGTTTTTTGTCGTTTTTTAGACCTCATGCTTATCTACCATCACCTAGCACATACCTCAGCAAATCTTTACCATCGACGTAACGCTTTTTATATGTCATGTCGTTTATAATAGCGAATAGTTACTTTGCGAAATTAGCTTAAAAATCGTCAATACGTGGATGGAAATATGTCAAAAACAAACTGCAGTTCATCTGAAGTGCTCTCACATTGCGGTGGTGAACGCGTTAACCCCCGGAAAGGTTAGTAGTGGGTTCGATCCCCACCGCAGACACCTGCGGTCCGGAGTTTTACAAATATCTCAGCATCATTGAAGTTATGCTTCGCAACATACTCCTCCTTAAAAAAGAGTAGGTAGTAAATAATAATTTAAAGCTGTATAACCTCAGCCTCAGCTTAACTGGGTTAGTTACCGATTTGGGCTACCCAGATCAATCCCGCTGACAGGTGATTGCTGATGGCAATAGTTCGATAGAACTAGCTGAGAAACAGGCGAAACGAAGGAGCCGCATGGTGTGGTGGTGAACGCATTGCTCCTCGGAAAGGATAATATCGCGTTCGTTCCCTACCGCAGACACTTGCGGTCGGGAGTTTGCAGCTGTCTCAGCATCATTGTGGTTGTATCTAATATCACACGCTCCCATGAAAAAGAATAGGTATTAAAAAAAAGTTACTACATTATCCGACACATTGTTGACAATCCCATTTCTGATTCGTTATCCAGTAGTTCATCCTTTAACACCAACGAAAGCGCAGTGTTTAAGTTTAACGCTTTTGTAACCATGCGCATTGACTTCAAGACGTACGCTGGCGCACTCTACGGACCAGATTTTTGACATAGCTACCAAATATTTCTTCTAAAAAGTGAAAGCCGGCAGGTGTGCCAAGCATCGAGTTTCCTATAAGTCGTTCGAGGAATACTATTTAAGCCCAGTAATTTGGGTGAGACGGTTTTTGAAGGTGTTCGCAAGACTTCTGCGAAAAAAGAATTTGCTTTGAGTCCTCGGGTCATGCCTAGTGCCGCGGAACTTCAAGTACTGCAGAAGAAATCTGTTCCATCAAGCAACTGGATAACTCATGGTGAACACCTTTTCTCATAGTGAACTAAGCTGAGAAAAGACTATCCAACACAACATCTTCCTTCGCTGCTTACCGTTTCATATTACTCCGAAAATAGACAATACCAGCGTAGTGTTTAACTTCCCAGCGGCATGGAACGGCGAGCATCAGTCCTCGTGGGGTAACCCAGTTTTTTTATTTCTAAATAAATGGTGAGTTTTTGACAACTGGAGGATTTAAAAGGTTGGGAACATGATAAGGTCGTAGGAGAGACTTTGCTCTATTGCGTTTAGGTCTGAATGGATGCGTCTCGATTGCCTGTAGAACAACTACGCGGATGTGAAGCAATAGTTCTGAAACACAACCGAGTTGGAAAGTACTGCTCAGTCCAAAGTGACTAGTTCTATTGAACGACGACCCCCAGCTTCATGTAGCGCACTAGGCCTTGCAAATGCTGAAGTAGTCAAGATACGGGGCTTTTACTCATTCAGCTATTCAGCTGAACTCTGGCTGAGCAGTTGTCATTTCTTCATACACATCGGCTACTACTGCCTAAGGTAATGCTCGAGAGCTAATCCACTGCACAAATGCCTTGAGAAGTTCGAAGGCTTCCTAAGCCAAGAATTTTGCATCACACTATCTCGGTGACAACAACGTGTAGATTCTAGTGGGTTTGTTTCACTAAGTAAATTGTCGGATAGAATGTGTTCATTTGAATTCTAACCCGACAATGCTTGAAGGTTTCCCAGGCATGCAGATCCACGTATCCTCTATGCAGGAACTTAAGCTGGTTGGTCCCCAGGCGAGATGGCACGTACTTAGTGTTCTACTTTCCTCTTATTCGAAGTTTCCATGATGCAGCAGTAGGAGTCACTGTAGCAGCAGTCGGTAACGTTTTCAGAATTGCTTCCTGCAGAGGATGATGCCAGCTCCGTTTATTTATGAGTACTTTCATATAGATGTTCAACTTTTTTAGTATATTAGTCTTTGGAGAAGTGAGTATGGATTCTACACGGCCAGAAGTTGCCACATGATTGCACTGAACTTAGACCTCCAGCATTTTAGAGATCGGAGTTGTAAATTTTGCATTCCGAATGTTGCTCCGATCAAAAGTCTACGCTACATTCAAGTGACTAAGAAAAACATGGAAGTCGATCCGCAGTGGTATCCAAGAATTAAGCTCCAAAGCTATTCAAGGATTATTCGTAGGTGCTCTTTCTAGAACAGCGGGCCTCAGTGGTGCATTATGTAGTACGCGAGCCATGGTTCGATCTGGCCCAGGGTTCAAATTTTGCGAATATCTCAGCATCATTGCGGTTGTGTTTCAAGTGTTGTCTATTTAACGTAACTTCAAAAGCACTATACGATAGCTGTGATGCTCTTCGATTGCTCTGAAAGAGCTCTGAAACGGAAGTAGTGTGGCTCGACGTTGACTGGAGGGATTGCTGCTGATGTCCTTCATGTCAGTCCATGATTAACGGGTTTGAAAAAAGCACTGACACGGAAACTTTGCATAAAACCAGCTTTACAAGTGAGACCTAATGAGTTGATTTCGATATCTCCCGGATTTGTCCGTCTTCCTCCTGAGTTAGTTCTTAATCTTCGTGTTTACCCTTGCTCTTAGGTAACATTTGACCAATAACCCTCTTGTAGCGTCCCTGTTGGCATTGTTTTCAACCCATCACTCGCTTATTCCCATTTCATTCCCTGACTCGTTAGCGGCGTTTTGGTTAAAACCTTTTCCTTTTTGTTTTCATTTTGACGTTCGAGAACTCTGCACAATTGGTAGACATAATTCACTTGGGAAGGGCGCATGTGGCGCAGTGGTTGGAGGCGCCCTGCAACGCGCACACGGGATTAATCCCAGCACTACTGGACCACTAAGCCCTCCGTCCCTCCAGGGTCGGCAAATTGGTCCCAGACTTGTATAGGAGGATAGCAGCAATGGCTCGATACATCGGTAAGCCACCGAGGATCCTTATAAAGGCCGGATATGCATTCAGTCACTTATAACGATGCTTAATGAAGTCGAATGCGTGGCGCATCTTTCAGGGATTGATCAGCGCCGGGAGCTTCATCAGCTTTATTCATAAATTCGCTTGGGTCCAAATTGTTCTGCAGTAGATTCCTGGTTGAATGCTTGCGTTATTTACCTAATTTACTTTACTAATAGCTTAAAGATCCATTGTAGGCTGTATAAGAATGGGATCGGCCCGCAGAAACGACAAAGCTCGTGGCAAGGAGAAAGAACGCAGGGCGACGTCGGCATTTCCAACGCCCCTAATTCCTAAAGTGTATGGATGCCCAGTTCCTGAGCCTATTCATTGCTTTTTAGGTAGGTCGTACTTTGATTGTTAATAACTTTTTTTTGTAATGACGAGTAAGTGAGTAAACCATCGCGCTGTGAATGTTTCAACCCATTCCGCCCGGCGCCATTTTTTGTTGCTTGCCCAGTCGAATACGAGCAATCTTTTGTCGGCTGCGGACTTTCTGATTTTTGAACAATAGGGGATTCTTTCTGAGCAACTAGAAGACCTGAGAGCTTTTGAACATGAAAGGGTTGTAGAAGAAAATTTGCTCTATCGTTCTATGAAAATGAATGGTACGCAGGCCACTATTTAGTGTTCTTGTGGTCCTTATAGTAAATGCATTGCTGTCGGGGTTTGGGTTTGGAAGTGTTTTGCAGTTTCTATTGGGTTTATTCTGGTATTCCAGATCTCCAACCCAAAGTGTTTAAAATAAGTCACAATGAATTTTGAAAAGTTGAAAGCCCTTTCTCGATTTGGTGGTTGGTGGTGCATGGCCGCTTCTAGTTGGTGGAGCGATTTCTCTGGCCAACCTGCTAAACAGTGACTAGATTCTTACGTCTAACCTGCTTCTTAGAGAGAAGCTATTCGAATTGCTGACCAATAAACCTTTTCGAGGTTTCTTGCAGATCATTGAGTGTAGAAGACGGTTTTTGTGGTCCCAGCCCTCCCATTTTGATCCGCTTTTGATGCTATGGAGCGAATATACGTAGTCTTATAGAAAAAAAAGGATTCCACTAAACCGAACGTGAACACTGTAATGTCCATGCGGTCGTTTCGCCCAAACTGCGTTAGACACTATAGGTCAGTAAGGGCCGGAATGAGTTATTGCATTCAGTAAAAACATAATTCAGGGGAATCTATACCACTAGGAGGTGATGGAGTGAGAATGGAATGTTCGAACGAAAAATGCCCTTTTGAAAATGTCCTACTTCACCAAGAATGCTTTGAAGCCTTGGAGGATCATCTGGTGAAGATTTTGTGCAACCTCGGTTCGTCATAGAATGTTTTATTTCGAGTTGTCTTATCTTTCATTGATATCCAAGAAATGCGTCATAGGCATGGACACGGTGGCGGGGAACTTTGGGTATGCTGCGATTCATCTACTGGTTGGACGCTTGGAGTCTAAGAACTCATTGGTTCAGAAGTAATTTCATTGGTAATTAGACTGTTAGGCAAAGAGGATTCAGTGCTAGAGGGAAATGCTCGCAGGTTTACGGCAAAAATGGTTTTAGTCTTCAATGTTAGTTTTTTCTCTTTGGATGGGTTGTATGCAAAATGTAGAAAGGAGACTGTATGGATTAAGATTTCTTTTGTCATAATACATCAATGCACACGTAGTTGAAGAAAGTGAGAATCGTGAGCACCCAGCGCAATTCACCTTGGTGGGTAATTTGCTGGTTGATCCAAGTTTAGTCAACTTTCCTTTCCTTGAGTTCGTAAAACCCGCCTTAACATTTCCTCCATTTCCCACCTAGGGACTGTGTTGTTGCCAAAATACTAATTACTGCTAGCATATTGCCACTTATTTGCTATTACTTGGGCTTTTGGATGAAAGTAGAAAACTGTAATAACTAGCTAAAATGTTGATCTAGTTAAATGGTTTACCGCCTCACCGTGGATGAGAGACGATCCTCTGTGTCGGGCTGTGATGTACAAGGAGGTGTTCACCATCCCAGCAGGGCCTAGCATCCACCACCGTCCTGGTATCAAACTGGTCGCATGGTGGCAAATCTCCCTCTGGTCCAGAGGGGCGGTGACTGCCTGGGGTGGTGGCGGTTAGAGTAAGGCTTCGGATTAGGCTGACGTAAGGACTCCAGGGAATCACAGTGGCAAAACCAGCAAATATCCGGAGTGGAGATTATGCTGGGGTCGCACAACCGGTTAAGACGGGTCATCCAAGTATCCAAGTAAGTAAATATCAGTAGTAACATTGTGTTTCGACTGTTCCTTTTTTCTGAGTCGGAGTTTTCGGGACTGCTATCATCAACAGGATCCGCTAGAGGATGGACAGACGCCCAAAGACGCGCAAATCTGTGGGATAAGAAAGGTCAAGCTTTAATAGCAAAGGTTGGTGCTAGCATTTCGAAGTTGCTATTTACCTTATTCTTTGCCTTGACAATTACTGACAATTATACCAACATAATGTTGACGGGCTTTCGATTTTCCAGTGCTTGAAACAAACGAGTATTCTTGAGCACTTCACAGGTTGTCTTCCTGACATATCGGTGATATTTGCAGCTTTGTCGCTGCCGATGTGGACTCGGTTTGACGAGGATGGACGAGCTTGCTGCTTACAATCGACTAGTATGTATCTTCTACGATATTCCTCATTCTTTATGTAAAAAAATCAGGTACAGGCAGTTGAGAACCAATACTATGTAAGCACTTCATAGTTCCCATTCTTATGCACGATTTTAGAAGCGAAAAGCACACGAAGAAGAGGAAGCACAACGTGAAGCTGCTTTGGCTGGCGGGCGACCAACTCCTACGTTGAAGAAAAAGCACAGGACAAAGAATGTCCTCCCTAAGCTAAACTTTGGATCAACCAAGTTTTCATACAGGGTAGTTGCAGACGAACGGGAACCACGACCAATGGCGTAAGCTTTTGGATTCGTTGTATTATCTGAAAAACTGGAAGTTGTTCGTAGATCGGTTAGAAGGCATCCTTTCTTAATGTTTTATAACTAGGCGTCAATGTAATGCCAAACTTCGGGACCTATCATCGTCTTCAATATCGTCTAATCAAAGAAGTCAAGCTTTTGAGGTTAGTTATTGTGTAGACTCACGTGTTGTTCTGTGTTGTTCTTACAATAGACTCACGATTTGCATATGTGTTACGTTGTCGTAACTCTGGATTAAATATATCTTCCCGCCATTGTAAAGTTATTCCACAAAGGCCTGCTTCTTATGTTGCTTGCGAATCTGGTGTCAATAGGCCTTCTTCACCTTCTATGTCACTGACTTGGGTAAAGAACTAAATGTTAACTAAGCTTACTCCCTCCTTTTTTCTTTAAGAACACATTCCAAGTAGTTCCATTCAGTCACGAAGAGAATCCTTAATCTATGCATCCGATGCTTGGAATTTGGTATCAAACCTGCGTTCAGGGGACAGGACTCGGTATGGTGAGTTTTGTTATGAAGTACTCTATGGATGTTAATTTACAATTTACTTTTCCTTTGCTTTGCCACTCCATGGTATTTAAATCAGCTCTTGTGACTTTTTATTTCGACTGCGTTATTTATTGTTTACTCGTCTAAATGTCACCTTAGGGATAAACAATAAAGCTCTTGGCGTTTATCAATCCCTGAGGGATGCGCCATGCATTCGACTTCATAAGCATCATTGAACGTGATTGAATGCATATCTGGCTTATACAATGACTCGTGGTGCCCTACCGATGTATCGAGCCAGTGCTGCTATCCTCCGAGACAAGTCTGATACCAATTTGCCAACCCCTGAGCGATGGATTGCTTGGCGAGCCTGGGGTGTGGGGATCGACCCATGTGTCTTGCAGGGCGAGCGGCCTCAAGCACTGAACCACACGCGCCCTAAGGCGACCTTAATTTAGGTCTTTATTCCAGAGAGTTATGATTGCTGAGAGTAGACTTTAGACTGATTTCTACGGCATAAGCATGGCAAAGACAAACCATTCGTGTTGCTGAGCTTTGCGAGTGTATTTCACTACTTTTCGTTGACTTTAAGAGTTATTGAACTGTTTTTCATGAAGAGTGCAATTTTATTAAGCATAATGAGGAATATAGAGCAAGTTGTGAAGTTGATCTTATTATTGAGCCCAGATGATCGTCATTGTCGTTCGTATTTCACCAAGAGTCTCGTATCATCAGTAGCCTATTTAAACGTCGGATCGATGTAGCTCTTATGTAAATAACAGGGAAAGGAATGAAGTATTTGCTGATATCTCCATGAAACATGCGGTGGTTTTGGTAAGGTGATGCCAAGCAAAACCTGCCTTTATCATCCAGCAGCGGGGGTAATGAATTTTTGGTGGTTCATAGTAGTATACCGTTCTTCATGAATGAAAGAGGTATCTTCTGAGATGTGATACCATGCCAACGAGTGAAAAGTTTTGTTTAAGAGAGAAAGAGAGAAAGGGAGGGAAAAAGTACTATTGCGAGTATTGTTGAGGTTCTCTGTTCTAATTGTGAACCACTCAAGAATTGCAAGTCAGTAGAAGAATTGCAGTGATGCCTGACCACGCTACTGAGCAGGACGATTCGATATCAACCAGTTCGAAGAACGACTTCAGTCCAGACTCATACAATGTTTGTTTGACATTCAGCTTTCCTGAATATCGCAATTCCGAAAACCGACTTTCTGTTAACTTTGGTATTAATTGATAATTCACTGTTTTTCTTCAGTGAGCAAACACGAGATTGGTGTTATAGTATTAGCATACAATAGCTGACATTTTGGCGGTTTCGCCTTCTTCAGAGCCTGGAAAGATCAAATTGACATGCGGTCTACTTAGCCTAACACTTTCGTAATCTTAGCAGATTTAGCGGCTTAAACATTAGTTGTTGTGTGCTAATAAATTCTATAATACCAACCTCCTGTTTGCTCATTGAAGAAAAACAGTGAATTCCTGAATGTAATCCATTTATAGGAATATCACAGTGTCTTTCGATGCACCATCGATGAAACTTGGAGAGTCACACGAGAACTGTTACCCTTACACACTTGCTTACTCTCACGTACTTACTGATAAGCATGCGCTTTGAGACGATGTCTGGTGTTCTTGTTCTTTAGTAGTTATTGAGAAAACGAACATCCCTTTCTGCCACTTTCCAAAGACATATGAATAGGTGGTGACATCGTGCGATACACAGATTCCATGAGTATTGCAGATGTTAGGGAGTGACTTCGGTATTGAACAAAAAACTGGTTCAACAATAAGTTCTGAATACTTAGAACGGCCATCCTTTGAGGTATGCCATTTTGTTTCCACTTGATAACAACGATCGTTGAAGTATAACACCGTGTTTGATTTCTTTAGTATCTTGGATCGCCCGTGAAAGGAGATGTGGTAACAGTGTCATCCTTAACGTCGTTACCGTTCAGAAGAACCCAAGATCTGCCACTTTCTGGTAATTTCATGGTTCGAGAATGTGCGGCACCAAATGACAATACAAGGAATTGGGGTAAGTGATATGGATGAGTGTCATGGAAGCATGAAGCTACTTCTTGGAAAACGATGGTGTTTGACAGTCGAGCGTACCCTGTAGTCTCGTATTCAATCGTATCCTTCAAGCATTTCTTGGTCAGAATGCTTTGTAGTCGGTTGTTTCAAATAGCACCGCTACTATAACAATCCATCATGTTTGCGGTAAGGAAATAGCCTAGTGTAAGCTTTTATCCATTTCCGTCCATTAATAACTAGGCTTATTGATTTAGCAACTCCGACATATTGGCGATAACTTAAGTAATACATATGACTCATTCATTTCGAAATAACTGGCCGGCGTGAGGCATATGTGACTCACTTACTTTTTGGCGGTTCGTTTTGCTACGCAGGGTTTTTCGCTACACTTTTAGTATACATTCGATAGCTTTTCCAACACGGGTTTTATATCGGGTGTCACTGAGAAATACTGTATGGGAGATGTGGTAATTTGCAAATAGCTTTTTTCTGATCAATTCATTCGTTTCGATTTGAACCAACTCGAGGGTGCTATCGTGTCTTACGTACTTGCACGCAAAAATCCGCAACTTAAGAAACCTTATAACCACAATAATTTAATCACGGAACAGACTTGTATGTAGGTTGTTCATAGTACATAGAAGGAATAGGAGTGCACAAAATGCGCTTTTCCACATGTTTTCAACAAGCGTGTCTTTTAAAACATTACATGATCTAGTCGTTTATTCTCATAGCTTTTCACCTACATTCTAAAGGTTGTACCTAAAAGCGTTTTCTTTGCAACCATCAAATTTCGCAATTAAGATTTTTTACGTACCATTTGCAATCATCACTACTCCCTCCCTCCCTCCCCTCTTCCTCTTCCTCTTCTAGTCTCTTCAATGTACCCCTCGACAAAATTTGCATACCGTTACCTCTGCTGCAATTGTGCATTTTATGCTGTTTATGTTCTTCGCGTGCAGTTCAATAATATACAGCTATAGTTAGCCATTTCTGTAGTTGTTACTAAAAGATCTTAAACAAAAATATTTGTTGCTTTGGCGTTATCCTGCTTTCACCTGCCTGGCGTGTATTCCAGAAAATTCTACCATTGATTGATGGTCCTCGGTCACCAAGCTTCTCTTGCATGGAATGTGTTGACGGAATGCCACTCGTCCTCTAGAGGGCGAGCTCGTCGATACAGATGTTTTTGCGAGGGCTATACATATTCTTCCAACGCTGCCAACATATTCGCCAGCGAACCGATCTTGTACAGTCTATCTCATTTGTCACATCCTGCATTATTTGATGGACGAGACTCCACAGTTCTTGGCCTAATCTGCGAACCAGAAGTATCATATTTATTGTAGTATTGTGGAAATATCTCTTTCGTGACAGGAGCCCATTTTAAGCCAGAGGCCGATAAATATCTCCCTACTTACCACAGTTTTTTCTTGCAACAACTATCATCTTGTTTTTTTTTCTTTATTAGAAGGTTGATCGTTATCGTGTAGTGAGTCGTCTTTGTCAACTACTTACCCCTATTGATGAGTTTTTAGCTTTTAACCATTGTGTGGGCTCGTGTAATGCAGTGGTCGGAGGCGCAACACACATGGGATTGATCTTTGCGCACTTGGCCCACCAAGCTTTCTATCCCTCAGGGGTCGGCAAATTGATACCAGACATCTCTGGCGGTATAGCAGCACTGGTTCGATACATCGGTAGGCCACCGCGAGTCATTGTGAAGGCCAGATATGCATTCATCACCTCCAACGATGCTGAATGAAGTCGAATGCATGAGGTATCCCTCAGAGATTGATCAACACCGAGAGCTTTATCCTTTATTTTAGGCGTTGTGTGCTTACCAGGAGTTTATTGCCATGGATCGAGGCCGAATGTTATTAGAAAGTGTTTACTACGAAGTTAATCGCCATATTTGTTTCTGTGGAAGTTGTAGTTCGTAGTTACCTCTTCTTGTGTTCTCTGGATGAACTGGAAGACGCTTGACGCGATCGAGATGTCACCCACATCTGAAAGGTGCAAAGAGTTCTGGACAAACTTCAATCCAAACAGCTACGAGGATGTACACTAAGTCATTTCAATGAGGCAATGATTTCTTCGAGGCTTAAAGACTTGTTTCCATCCTTTTAGTGTTCATGTTCGGGTTTCTTTTTAATATTTTGAATGAACATTCTACGCATATATGCATGTGGTACCCACTATAGAAGAAGCGTTCATCTCGAG